TATATGTCTATTCAAGTAATTTATGACACTCTTTAGGACAGAGTCAGTTGGGAAGCAGTTGATAGACTCTTTACCAATTTTGCACATTTTTCATATTTTATAGTTCTCAAATCAGCAGTTTGGGCCAATATGTAAAACTGTGACAATTTTTGAAGGTTTTTTTTTTTAAGGATCTTAAAAGCAGAAAACAAAACCTTTAATCAAGTACATAGTTTAATTCATCACAATGTGAAATATGTTAGCTTTTCTTGAATAATTTAGGATAAGTACATTTGAAATACTTTTCTATAGTATTTTCATGTAATCCTGAGTTTCTACTTCATTTTAGATGTGTACTGCATAAATACAATCATATAAATTATGAGACGCTTCTGTTTAATCAATTTAAGCTATGTTCTGATGTTTTAACTGATCATAAACAAGTTGGTCTCCAAATAATTCTGAATGTGTGCTATTGTGTTGATGGCAAAACCTTGGTAAACGGGCTTGCCAATCAAACTGATGTAACTCGTAAGCTATCTTTAGGTTGGTGATTGAAATAAAGACATGAGTGTGATTCTTATTTGCTGACAACTTACAATTAATACTATTTTCTATTATGACTTAATTATTAGACATAACATTTTCTTTGAACTTTCTATATTCTGTTAATGTGAACAATCTAGTAAAATGCTAAGTTACCACTCATTAAAAGTACTTTCCAAGAGTCAGAAAAAAGCAGTGTCTTTTCCCATGGATACCTGGGTATTTTAGGTGTATTTAGGTGTTATGATAATGGAATTTCTGTGTAGAATTAGCACATTATATTCAAATCCTAAGTGAAATATCCTTGTAGTAAGTGGAGTGCTTTGCTTAACTTTGTTTTATGCTTAGGGTTAAGAACATAGAAGCTTCTAATTTTACTCTAAAGAAACTCAAGCATAATCAAAGATAGAATAATATAGAAAGTGTGTGTGTGTGAGTGTGAGTGTGTGAGTGTGTGTGTGTGTGTGTAGCTTAGTGATAGAGCACTTGCCAGGCATTCAGGAGATACTGGGTTCAATATCCTGGACTATGTTAAAAAAAAATTACGTCTTTGTAGTTTAGTTTGAAGCAAATACCAAATCTTATATAATCAGTAATTATTTCAGTTCCTTTCCCTAAAAGAAAAGGACTTACAAACATATCCCTGATCTCCTAAAAATGAACAATTCTTTAACCTTAAAAAGTAGTTGGTCAGCACTCAAGTTTTAGATGGTCTTTCAGAAGCTTCATAATTTTCTGAAATGGGACCACACATTGTGATTGATTGATGGATTTTTTTTTTAATCATTAGCTTTCCTGTTCACATGTTTCCTTGACCCTGCCTCTCTCCCTTCCTTGCAATTTTGTTTTGTTTTTAATAAACCAGGTGGCTCTACAGAGATTTTAAAGCATGGATGCTGCCGATTGCATCTTGATGCAAGTTAATCTGATCTTTTGTGAATTGATAGTTTAATCTACAGTTTCCTTAAATTCAGGTTGATTTCTTGGGGGAAAATGACTTACTAGGTGATTGGATGGTCTTTTTCTTTTCTTTTAAATGTATTTGGTACAGGGTCTCACTATGCAGCTTGGACTCATAGTGATTCTCCTGTTTTCAGCATCCCCATCTCTAGGACTACAGGCATGAACCACCATACTCAGTCTCCTTGGCTGCCTCAGTGCACCCAGGGGTGGCCCCAGCGCAGCTTGTGGTGCTGGCAATTGAACCTGGTCCTGCACTTGCCTAAGCAGTGCTTGGTCTGCTGAGGTATCTTGCCAGCCCTGGTTTTGTTGTTGCTGTTGGGAGTTACATAATGTCTCTCTTTTTAGGAGAATGTAGCTATTGATGTACAATGTGGGTCCTTATTATTTGGAATATTTCTCTAAAGAACAACTTTTACATACCTGTTGTAGGCTACCTGGTAGTTGAGTTATATAGGACAGGTAGGATGAATGCTTTTTTTTTTTCCTTTATTAACCACTTTTTAAAGTAAATTAGTTCTCTAGAATACTCTAACATTGAAGGAAGACATTTTTGTTTTTCACTGGAAGCTTTTAAAATCTTTCGTTGTGCTTGGAATTCAGGAGTTTTACCAGAATGTGCCTGGGTGTTGATTTTTCTTCCACCCCATCAATGACTGGAACTTGACCCTTTTCCATCTTTATTTAGTCTCATATCTTCTGCAGTTGTGGGATATTTTCTTGCGTTGTTTGTTTAAGCAGTACCTTTCTTCAGCCCATTTTTCTCCCTTCCCTTTAACCATCATAAACATTTGTTCCTCTGGCTCTGCAGCATCATTCCGTGTCTTACAGTGTAATGCAAGAATTCTTCCTCTTTGTGGTTTTGTCTTGCATTTCTAAATATTTCTTCTGTTTGATCTTTCAGACCATTAATTTTCTCTAAGTAGTGTTCACCCAAATCTTTAATTAGCTGTTAGATTTTTTTATATTTATAAAACAGTATCTTAGCTCCATTTTGATTCAACTAGCAAGTTGATCTCTAGCAAGTTTGTTCTTAGGGGCTGCCTGTTCTGGGTTTCCTGATTGTTCTTCACTGCCTTTGCCTGTTGGGTAGGTAGTGATGCTTTTTTATTGCACTTACTTGAGTCTTTTCACACTGGGCCTCAAAAGTCTGCCAGGGGTGACAGACAAAGTGCTAAGTGTTGAAAGATGCACAATATTCCTGCCCAGGATTAGGAAGGACTTACTGAAGTTGTCCAGATCCCTGTGACTCCTTGGAGACTGCGAGAGCAGAAGGGGCTTCCCAGCACATAGTCTGGTGCTGCCCCTCCCCTTGAGGTCCACCGATATCTGCGGGCAAAACTCTCCCAAGAGCAATAGCATTGTCCTGCCCAAGGAGCCTTTCCTCCTAGAGGGGGAACACTTTACACCAACTCCTTTCGTCTGAGACCTCAGTCTACCATTTAGGTCCACTTGGAATGGATTAGGGAAGGGAAGACTGCAGGGATGTTGTGAAGTTACTATTTTCCCTGAAATCCTGAGGTGCTCTTAAGTTAAATCTTGTTAAGCTGTATAAGCTCACTATTTAGACCTCTTAAATGAGGAAATATAACAGATTTGAAAAACAGTGAGCCTGGAACCTTCTGCCTTAGGTAACTAGTTAACTCTCTCATAGCTTTGGGTCTTTGTTTACCTTCTCAGACTTACCCCCTTTATATTTTTCTTTATTTTTTAGGGAAGGGTCTACAGGGTGTTCAGGGTCTCACTACTAGGTCAGATGCCTAGTGATCCACCTGTTTACAGCCTCCCAAGAGCTGGGATTACAGGTGTGCGCCACTATGCCCAGTCTCAATTGCCGTCTCAGTGCGCCCCAGGGGTGGGACCTATATGGCAGGCCCTGGGATCGAACCCTGAGACCCTGTGCCTACTTGCAGGTGCTTTAATCCACTGAACTGTTTGGCTAGCCCTTATATTTCCTTTTGAGATAAGGTTTCACTAAGTTGCCCACGCTGACCTCAAACTTGTAGTTCTCCTGCCTCCTGAGTAGCTGGGATTACATGCGTGCAACACTATATCTGGATTTAAGGTTACTTTTTTTGGTGTGCATGTGGTGTTCAATCTCTAGGCCACTGAGTGGTGTGGACTTTTTAACAATAGTAATTCTTTCAGCACACAAGGATAGAATATCTTTGCATTTATTTGTGTCATCTTCACTTTCTTTCATTTTTTTATGGCTTTCAGTGTAGAAATCTACTTTCTTCACTTTCTTGGTTGAATGTATTCCTTCCTAAGTAGTTTTTTTTTTTTTTTTAAAGCTATAGATCTTGCTTTCTTGATTTCTTTTTTGGGATAATTTGCTATCATTCTGTAGATATGCTACCAATTTTTGATGTTGATTTTTACATCCTGCAACTTTATTGAATTTACTAATCCAGTTGTTTTTTAGTGAAGTCAAAAACTTAAAACTTATTCTGTGGTTCAGAATATAGTTTGTCTAGGTGAATGCTTTGTGTATACTTATTAATGATATGAACCCCCCCCCCAGTCACCACTGAAGATCCCGACCCACTCTTGGCCTGTGTATTGGTTATGCCCTCCCTGCTGTTTTCATTGCCTCAGTTCTTGACCACAGCTCAACAGGTTGCAATGATTAGTCCAAATCTAACAAGATCAGACATAAAGGGGATAAATCCAAGGTCTTACATTTAGGTTTAAGATGAAGAAAGGGAAAGCGTGATCTGTAAACATAGGTGATGAGCTGCGGGTTGCTCTATGGTACCCCTGAAAGGGTTAGTGTGATAGACTGCACCACTGAATGAAACCAGGTGACTAGATGACACCAAGAGGATTATGTTCAGGTTTGTTGTATCAAGTCTTGAGTGACCGACAAACTAGATAGACATCATCCACAGAAAAACATTGGGTTTTGTTGTGTAATGTGAATTATTTGGCTAGAGGAAAAGGGACTCTGAAGTCTCTCAGAAATTCTATAAGGTGGGCAGACCAAATAGCTCAGAGGATTAAAGTGTCTGCTTAGATGCAGGTAGGGTGTGCTGAGACAACATTTGAGTCTGTTTGTGGTGGTGCATGCCTGTAATCCCAGCACTTGGGAGGCTGTAAACGAGAGGATCACTATGAGTCCGATGTACATAGTGAGACCCTGTATACTCTGTACACCTTGCTCTAAATACAAAAAAGAAAAAACCAAAGCTATAAGGCATTATGTATATATATATTATAGAAAGAAAATTGAAGGTCAGAATAAATGCATCCCTAGCTCTTGGCTTTTAATCTTCTGTTGTTTTTGTTTCAAAACACTGGTATTTACTTTTACCTCTTAGAAGCCGAGTTGATAGCATAGGCTGTATACATAATGGGGAGAAACTTGGAAATATAAGGGGATGGTTACAGATTAAATGAGAGGAAAGAACACTCAAGGCAGAAAAGTAAATATGAGAACATATTTTGGTTACTAGAACAGTAAGTTTATCAGGATTACAGAAAATGTTTAAACATATTTCTCTGTTTTTTTTAAGGTTTTTGATTCCGATGAAGAATCTGGATATCTTGTTCTCACCATAGTTGTATCAGGCCACTTCTTCATTTCTCAAGGACAGACACTACTGGTAGGTTTCATGCTTAGTGATTTAATATGCAAATGTGTTTCTGTATCTCTAGCTTTACATTAATTTTTGTACCCTCAAGTTTCTTCTGTCTCACTGAAATTCATTCATTAAGTTCAAGAAATGAAGCATTATCAAGCCTGTTGTAACGGTGGGAAATAGAGCAGCATACTGGATATTGCCTTCCCTCAAGGAGTTTAGGGTTTATGGGATCAGAATAGATGAAAGGATTGATAATGCCTGCTATAAAGAAGTGTTCTTAATTAGAGAGATTGATTTGAAGACAGGCTAGACTTGCAGAGAAGACTAGGGAGGGTTTTCCAGGTAGGGAAAACAGCAGATACAGAGGGATAACCAAAAGAAAACAAAATGCATTGTTTTTAATTAATGGATCCCTCCATAAATTTCCTAATATTAAAAAGATATCTGTTTTTTATTCTAAATGTATGTATAGATGTGTGTGTGAATATATGTGTATACAATATTTTAAAATGAAGAAATATGTAAAAAAGGAAACAAGAACCACTTTGCTTGAAAGTTTAGGTTCTACTTATTTTTTTCAATTTTTTCAATTTTATTTATTTGGTACAGGGTCTAACTATGCAGCTTGGACTTATAGTGATCTTCGTGTTTCAGTCTCCCCACTACTGGGATTACAGGTGTGCACCACCATGCCCGGTCTTGGTGGCTGGCTTGGTATGCCTGGATTGGGGCTGGCACGGCATGCAGTACCAGGAATCGAACCTGGGTCCTTGTGCTTGCCTAGGCAGGTGCTTAGACTTCTGAGCTATCTCTGCAGCCCCTTAGGTTCTGTTTGATATGCAGAAACAAAATGGATGAAGAAACAAGACAGTCACTAATTTCCAAAGAAATTATACAAGGAAGAAGACTATAAAAAGTTATTGCAGTATTTAAGTGGGGATACTGTCCACACAGACCTAATTCATTCATAACAGCTGATTGCTGACTGTATAGGCATAATTTATTCATTTAACGAATATTCAGTGACCAATTAGAATATGCTAAGCATTTTGGAGGTTGCTAGGGATATCAGTGAGTAGCAAAGACAGAAATTTCTACTGGCAATGAGGATCATCATTCTTGTAGGAGAAACAGATAAGCAGAGGGGCCAAATATATTTGAAAGATTAATTTTGGTGACTGTCTTTCATGTTGTTACGTGATGGTAGCATCCCACATGTGTGTATCGTAACGGTTCATCCTTCCACTTAACTGAAATCAGCCTTGTCAGTGAGTGTGAAGTGACCTGCAAAGACATCTTTGTATTCCTTGTGACTTTTACAACTGCAGCCTGCGTTGCACCGCTTTGCTTTATTGGCACTGTCAGCGCCTGCGTCACCTTATGAGATTAGGTTTCTGTTGCTCCAGGGAAGAGCACACTCCCAGATGAGGGGTGCCTAGCACGGGGCTCGCTCTCCCTTGGCAGTGTGAGGAGTCTTTGCTGAGTGAGGGTGCGGGGCTCCACCCAGTGTTGTCTCTGCCCCATCTTTCTGTCCCCCTCAGCCAGGGATGTTACACACTGGGAAAGTCACTGTGTGTCATGTGAATGAGGTCTGCACTGCTGTTGCAAAGCCGAGTTTATCAGATGTTGAGATGCCCATTGCTGGGAGCTACCAGGGCAGCTCTCTACAGTTTAAATGTGTCTATAGATACATTTCATTACTGAGTTTCTTTATTTGATTTTTCTTTATATTGAAAGGGTATTAGGGATTAAACCCAGGACTTTCACACTGCACTATATTCCCAGCCCCTTTTTATTTTTTTATAATTGAGATGGTCTTCACTAAATTGCTAAGTTAAGTAGTTTAAGGCCTTTTTAAAAATGCCCTTAAAATAGTCTTTAAAAATCATCTCTATTGAGGTATAATTTATATGAAATAAAACTCAGTAATTTTGTGTTCACCTAGACAGGTCTTGACACTCATACACAGTTGTGTGGCTGATATCACAGTCATGGTGGAGGCCTTTCAGGTGACCCTTTCAGGGCTCCCATGTGCACTTTGCAGTGAGGCTCTTCTGTCCACTCTTGGCTCCCAGCAGCCACTGCTGTGCTATTGCTATTGTTTTTGTCTTTTCTTTTTTAAACAAATATTTATAAATATAGGGTTTTTTAGTTGATGGGTAAATTGCATTTATTTACTGTGTACAACATTGTTTTGAAGAATGTGTACATTTTGCAGCGAATATATCTGGCTCAAATTTCATGTAACAGAGTCCTACGATATAGTCTTTTGTATCTGGCTTCTTCTAGCATAATGCTTTTGAGACTCATCCATTTTGAGCACCATCAGTAAGTTCTTCACTGTTCTCATTACCATTGCTTCCCATTACTGAGCAGTATTCCATGGTATGAATGAACCTAACTTACTTATTCACTCAGCTTCTGATGGGTAGATGTTTGGGCTGTTTCTTTCTTTTCTTACGAATAATGCTGCTAAACACATACAAGCTTTTGTATGCGTATGTGTTTTCCTTTTTCTTTGGTAAATGCCCAAGAGAGGAACTGTTGGGTCATATGGAATGTGTGTGTGTGTGTGTGTGTGTGTGTGTGTGTGTGTCTGCCTGTCTGTCTGTCTCTCTCTCTCGCTCTCGCTCGCTCTCTCTCGCTCTCGCTCTCGCTCTCGCTCTCTCTCTCTCTCTCTCTCTCTTTTTGGAATGTGTCCCTTTAACAAACTGCCAACCTATGTTTCAAAGTTCCATTCTTATACCATAAACAGGGTACAAGAATATGAGGTGTTCTGTATCCTCTCCAACGCTTGGTATTGTCAGTCATTTTACATTTTAACTAGTAGATGTGTAGTGGTGTCTTACAGAGGTTTTAATTTGCCTTTCTTTTCATGTGCTTGTTTGCCATTTGTATGTCTCCTAGGGGACCTGTCTGCTCATGCCTCTTAATAACTATTTTCCATTGACTTGTTTACCTTCTCATATTTGACTTATAAAAGTTCTTATTCTGGTTACAGTCTTTCATCAGAAATATGTTTTGCAAGGGTAGAAATATTTTCTATAGTATCTTCTGAAGCTAATTAAAATATTTGGAGTCCAAATTTTTCTCTTCTGTTTCATGCTTTTTGTATGGTACTTAATAAATTTTCATCTATTCCAAGATTGCAAGATAAATTTCTGTTTTCTTCTAGAAATTTTACATAGTTGTAGCTTTGTATTTAAAACTGTGGCCTAGGGCTGGTGAGATGGCTCAGTGGTCTAAAGCACCTACTTGGAACAAACTTGGCAAAGCACAGGGACCGCTGTTTGATCCCCCAGCACCACATACCAGCCAGCCCTGCCCCCAGGTGGGCTGAGCTGGCCACACACACACACACACACACACACAAATAAATGTTTTTTTAAAAATTAAAAAATAAATAAAACTTTGGCCTATTATTAAATTTTTAGTATTGATTTATTATTGTAGAAAATATTTTCTTTCCCTTAAAGCAATATTATAAGATGTAATCATGCATCTTGGGGAATTTATTTTTAAAAGTAATTTTAAAGTAAGCATTGACTTTTAATATGATGGAAGTTAAGGATTTGGGTCTATTTCTTGCAAATAGAGATCAGTTATTCCAGGATTATTTATGGAAAAGCCTGCTTTTCATCATTGAATTGCCTTGGTGCCTTTTGAAAATGATTGCTGAGTATTGTATGTGTTGTTTTATTTCTGGCCTCCTCTGTTCTGTTGACCTATGTGTCTCCTTACTGCAATCACAGGCTCTTGATTTCTTTTACTTTATTATAATTTTTGAATTCAGGTAGTATGATTCCTCCAACTGTGTTCTTTTTCGAAGTTGTTTTGCCCATCTAGGTTATTTACATTTTCATGTAAATTTTTAGAATGTGCCTTCCTACAAAAGAGCTTGCTAATGTTTTCAGTGCGACTGTTTTGAATCTATAAGTCAATTTGGGGAGAATGGACTTCCTACTAAGTCTACCAGCCTCTGAGCATGTTTTAAATCTCCAAGTATTTGTAGCTTCTTGTAATTTCTCTTAGTAGTGTTTTGCAGTTTTCACAGACTAGTCTTGTAATGATTTCTTAAGTTGGCCCATACATATTTCATATCTTTGTTATTATAAATAGAATTTTTGAAATTTGAATAGCTGATAGTTTGTTGCTAGTATGTAGAAACACAAGGTGAATATTAAAAACTAGATGTATCCTGTGGTCTCAGGTACTACATGGCTTTCACATATGCTTCTTAGGATTTTCTACATTGCCTGTTTACTGGAACTGAAGGTAGTTTCACCTTCTCCTTTCCAGTCTGTTTGCTCTCCCGGGGTCCTCCACCCTGTTCCTCTAACTTATGCTGGCTAGATTGTGAGAGTTGATGTCCTTTCCTTGTTTATAGTCTTAGGAAAACACTCGTTCTTTCCATCATACAGTATAATGTTAGCTATAAATTTTTTTTCATGGATATACCTTATGAGATTGAGGAAATTCCCTTCCATTCCTGGTTTTACCCAGTCGCCTTGTTCCCCTTTAAGATTCTGGTAATTTGGGCTGGTGAGATGGCTCAGTGGTCTAAAGCACCTACTTGGAACAAACTTCACAAAGCACAGGGACCACGGTTCGATCCCCCAGCACCACATGCCAGCCAGCCCTGCCCCCTGGTGGGCTGAGCTGGCCACACACACACACACACACACACACACACAAATAAATAAATGTTTAAAAAAAAAAAAGATTCTGGTAATTTCTAAATAAAAATGTTTTATGTATTTAGGGTGTTTAGTGTGTTTTGTACATTTTTTTGTTTGTTTTGTTTTTGTCTTTTTGAGATAGGATCTTCTTATGCAGTTCAGGCTGGCCTTGGGCTCACTTTGTAGCCCAGGCTGGTCTCATACTTGCAATGACCCTCTTGCTTTAGCCTCCTGAGTGCTGGGATTACAGCTGTGTACCACTAGGCTCAGCTAGTGTGGTGTTTTAACATATAAATATGTGAAATGATTACTATAGTCAAGCTATTGACACATCAGCGCCTG